TGTCCACTTGGCTTCCAGGTCTGCAGCCTGGGTGTCCTCCTGGGGCTCGGTTTCTCTCACACTCGGTACACATGCGAGTCAATCGGTTCCACCCTCCAGTCAGCCCCAGCGAGGTGCTCCTTCTGCACCCCCATTGCTCCTGCTTCTGGGTCTGCGCACGCCTGCAGTGACCTCCCCGTCCCACCGTCCCCCGACGGCCCATTCCCCACACTGCAGCTGGAGCCATCTCTCTGAAACACCAAACACACCCCGAGCCAGTTCCCAGCCTAGAACCCCGCGGCGACCCTCCTCTCACACAGGGGGCCGGTGAAGCACCCCACAAACTGGAGACTCACCGCCCTTCTCTTCCCAGCAGCGAATCCCCAGCCTCTGCAGCACTGGGCTGCCCCCGGCACATCCTTCACGTCCTAGTCCCGGGCAGATACCCAGAACCCTCTGCAGGCTCCAGTGAGTAATCCCTTCCATGCGGGCCCTACCTGGGCCCCTCTCCAGGTGGAGTGAAACCCAGAGACGGGACCCAGAAGGCGTCCAGTGCTGCAGGGCTTGTTCCTGCCTCGGGGACCATGCCCCGCTGGTTATCTGTAGATCTCTTTCCCTAATTGACTGTCAGACACTTGAGAACAAGGACCAAGTGTGACTCATCCCTAAGCTTGAAATGTGGACGGAACAGCCCAAGTCACTCGCTGTGGTTTGAACATGAAGAAAAAAATGCAAACAAGAGCCTAAGTTGTAGGTAGCCATACTCGTCCTTATACCGAAGGACAAACAGCGTGGTTAACGTACGTCATTATTTACACGAACTCAAGGCCATGTGCGGGCCGGGCGGTAAGGGAGCCATCGTGGGAGTGTCTCGGACCGTGGACAGGCCTTCTCATCCAAACAGCAGGCCCCCGGAGCTGCAGCTCGAGGCTCCCTCCAGCTGCTGAGAAGTTCCAGATGTGGTCCGAAAGGACACTCGGACTGCGGGGCCTCCTGCGCGAAGCCACCGGGACAGGACGTGCTGCGGCACAGGGAACTTCTACCCGCCACACAGGACTCTCGGGCAAGCTGCTGGGACCGGGCAGGGGTGGAATTCATCTCAAGCGAGTGCGATCGCAGATGCCTCGTCAGTGGGGCCAGACAGCTGACGGCACACGGCACAGCTCGGGACACAGGCATCCAGCCTGGCGCTCGGCTCCCCGCAGGGCCCAGATGACCAGCCGGCCCTGCGCCCTGGCCCCTGGCCCCCGCCTGCTCTGGCCAGCTTGGGGAGCTTTCTGGACTCCTGCATCGACTGTCTGTCTCAATGTATCGGAAGAAAGCTGGGAGTCACTGCTCTGGAGACGTTAAAACTTCTGTCGAACTGGTTGTTCAATGCAGCTCAAAACCTGGGTCCTTGCCCAGGTTCACACTAACCTGCTGTACCCCCGGGCCGACGGCAGATCATCCGCAAATGCTGTGCAAAGAGCCAACTGTTGCAATTTTCGTAGGACAGGCAACGTTTTAGGAGAAAAGTGAAAAGAAGGCCCGAGCAGACGCGCTGCTGCGGTGGGAAGGAGCTCCGTGAATCAGCTTCATCCGCTCCCTGTCTGGGCTGACGGCTCGGGAATCAACCAGTCAGGACGGAGACCAGAACTGTGTCTTATCATGGCTCCAAGTGTCCCCAAATGACAGAAAACAAGACAAAATTCGTGCAGCAGAGAGCTGAGGAGCCCCATCCAGTACACGGGAATCATGCATGGGGCAGTCACGTCCCAGAATTTGAAACTTTTCTTAGAATGTACCCCTATAAGTAAAACCCAACTTTAAGTAAGTCTATTTCGATTGTACTAAGTTTAAATTAAAACACAACCACACCCTGGCTGGTGTAGCCCAGCAGACTGAGCGTCACATGCCCGGGGTTGCGGGCTCGATCCCCAGTAGGGGGCGTGCAGGAGGCGACCGATCGACGTTTCTCACATCCACATTTCTATCTCTCCCTCCCTTCCTCTCTCTCTAAAAAAATCAATCAAAACGTATTTAAAAACAAACAAGCAAAACAAACACAACTTTCTCAGCAAGCCACATGGAGAGGGCCACATGATTTCCTAGGTGGGTCCTTCAACAAGCTGAGTGTCCCCGACATTCTGATCCCACTCCCCATTTCAGGGCCTGGGGTACCAGCGTGGGGCCCCCTTCCCTTAAATGTCAATAGTCATCGATTTAATATTAGAGTTGGCTTGCCACGCCTGTTAAAAACATTTCAGACACTAGTTGCTGCTTCTGGAGTTTAGATCAAAGGAAAAACAGAGAGTATTTTCTTTTTAAACAGGGTGGAGTGCTTCATCTTTACGAACACTACCTCTAAAAACATTTTAAAACATGTTAGTTCTATCACGTGGGCACCGTCTAACGAAGGTAGCACAACGGATCTTGGCAACTGGCGTCTTCCAAGCGCAGAAGTTCCTGCTACATCATGGACTCTGAGACTAAACTTACATGAAGCCAGAAATGACAGTCGAAAGTCAAGAATGTGTTCAGAGGTGGGGCCAGGGCAGGCTCGCTGGGTTGAGAATTCTTGCACTTCCAGCACCACCCAGGTCTTTACCTTTACAGTTTGCAAGAGCAAGGGGCAGGGGCAGCATTCCTGGAGCAATCTGTCCCCAAAGATGTGTCCCCAAAGACCGCCTGAGGAATGCTAAGCCCGCCTCAGGCCCACTGCTGATCTGGTGACTGAGCTGCCCCCAGGAAAGGGAGCCAGACGGACCATGAGTGACTGGGAGCAGGGGTCTAGACCACTGACCAGGCTGCCACTTGTTCCAAGTTCACACAGGGGACCACCCTAAGGAGCCCAGTCCCTGGTCCTGTTCCTCCCCCTCCGCACCTGACCCTAGTTGCTCTCCTGCACCCAGACCTCACAAGAGGCAGTAGCCTTGGGTATCTGCGGGAAGGCTCTGGGGCAAGAAGGCCTAATTTGAACCTTGCTTCTGCCTCTTTCTAGCTGCTGGAAAGTCACTTCCTTCTCTGTACCTCAGTTTCCCCATATATAAGGAGAGTCCCCACTTCTTATGCTTGATGTAACGATTAAAAGGATCAAGAGGATAGGAGACATCGTATCTTAGAACCAAACCAATCTCTCTAAAATAAATTAAATTTCATGAATAAAACTGATGGAATTTGTATGACATGGGTCTTTAGCACTTTTTTTTTTTTTTTTGTAAAAACATCTCATCTTATAGTTTTAACAATTTGTCCCTTAAATGTTGGTCTTTTTATGTTACTTTTAACTGGATGACATTTGCTTGCCTAATCTGTCTTTTTTTTTTTAAGGATCATTCTTTTTTAAGCAAATACAGGAACAACAGGTAAATTAAGTGGTATCCCGCCCCCCCCCCCAAAAAAAAACAAATCTCTAAGCACTAATAGCCATGTTCAAAGGGTAAGAGCAAGGAGCTGGGGCCGTTTATGGAGAAAAGGGATGCATAAGGAACTCTGTGAGCTGAATTTAAAGAAAGGGTCAGGGCCCTGCAGCGAACAGGGAGACACACTGAGTCCCAAGCAGGAAGGGCCAGAGCCATCGGGGCTCAGCAGGGAGGAGGGGAGCCCACCGTCTTAGAGGAGAAGCTTTCAGTGAGAACTAATCCACTATTATTGAAAACCACCCCCCCCTTCCCATATTTTGCAAGATGTTTAAAACTCCAGATGTTCCCAAAGAGCTCTGTAGATTGCCAGTTAATCTTCCCGGAGTCTTTCCCAACCTCTCTTCTGTGCCAATGAGTCCCCACACCTGGCGGTTGGCAGAATCACCTGAGGAGCTTTGAAAATTCCTGATGACCAGGTCTCACCCCACACCCAGGAAATCAGAATGTTTGGGGGCGGGAGGCAGACGTCGGTTTTTATTTGGTTTGGTTAAAAATCCCAAGAGATTCTAATTTGCAACAAAGTTTGGGAACCAAGGCTTATGCCCCGACGCTCCCCCAACAAACTCGTTCAGCACCCCGACTCCCTGCGCCAATGACATCAACAGCAAGTACGGACCTGACTCGGAACGGCTGCTCGATTTTGAAATTGTGCAATTAACCCTTCGGAGGCATGGTTCTCATGCTCAGGGGGCTGATGGTGGGTAGTCACGAAGCCAGACTCGCTCACGTTCGCTTTGGGCATTTGGCACCGGTGAACCATCGACACCAATGCGTGGTTTTAAAAAGTGAATTTGTATGTTGGTTGGCCCAATGTCAAAATCTTCAGAAAGCTAAAAGAAATATCCTCAAGTGAAAATCTCGGGTTTTTCAGGAGGAAAGTTTGCAAGGAGCTCTATTATGAAAAACCTGTGTGGACCTGGTCCCTGGGAGGTTCGGCACCGGGACCCAGCTGTCCCGCCCGGCTAGTCACACTTCTCTGTCCAGCTCCACCAAGAAGCCTAGAAACGCGACTACAGGCCTGCAGGTGGGGAGCAAATCCCAGGAGTTCCCGGAAGCTACCAATTCACCAGACCCCATGGGCCCAAGGGGCGCAGAAAATCCGGAGGGGGCTCCAGGTCTGCGCCCCAGGAGCGGTTCCGACCCCTCCCCACTTTTTGCCGCAGAGGACACTAAGTCCCTTCCAGGTAGCCACAGGTAGTTTGCGACAGAGACAATCACGCCGGGCCTCCCAGTCTGAGGCTGCAGCTGCACCCCGGGAACGGACCCGCGAGCGGGTTGCAGGGGGAGACGCGGTGCAAGGAGGCCCAGGCGGTCCCGGAGGGGTGGCGTGGATTCCCGCGGTCCTTCCGAAGCCCCCGGGACGCACGTGCTGGGACTCCCGCCGGCCTCGCACGGACGGGCAGGAAAGTGAAGAAAGTTGCGAGCGCTCCGGGAGTCCCGCAGCCCGATCCCCGCAGCGGCTCTCCGCGCCCGCAGCCCCAGCTCCGGCCGCCGCAGGCTCGCCCAGCTCGGGGACGCGGCGCCGTCCCCCGAGGTCCCGGCCAGGGCGCAGCCGTCCGGGCGCGGGGCGCGGGGCGCGGGGCGCGGGGCGCGGGGCGCGGGGCGCGGGCACGCCCTTACCTTTCTTTTCCTCCAGCGCCCGCCGCGCCGGGAAGTGCGCCGCCAGCAGCAGCAGGAGCGCGGCTCCCGCCGTCCAGGAGGGTCGCATCGCGGCCCCGGGAGCTCGCCCCAGGTCCCCGCAATTAGTCCGGGAAGCAGTCGGGCGGCCGTGCGCTCTGGCGGCGGCGAGGCGAGACTCCGAGGTGGCCTGTCGTCCGGTCTGGGAGGCGGCGGCCGCCGGGGCTGGCTCAGGACTCGCTCGGGACTCGGGCCGCCCTGGCCGCGGGCGTGCGCACCGAGCCGGGGGCGGAGGCTGCTGCGGCCGCGCCGCGCCGGGGGCTGCCCGGACGTCTAGCTCGCGGGGCGGGGGCGCGGGGAGGCTGGGCTGGGAGGAGGAGGGACCAGCCGGAGGAGGAGGGATCAGGAGGAGCAGAATGCGAGGAGGAGGGAGGAGGAACCGGCCGCGAAGCAGGCAGGCCGGGCCGCTCGGAGGTGGCGAACCGCGGTGGCCCCCGCGGGCCCAAGCGCTCGGGCGGGCGTGCGGGAGCCGAGCCCCTAGTTCATCTCCGAGAGGGCGCTCCCCGCGCTGTCCGGCAGGACCCGGTGGCGGACTGGCACTGCTCTCCCGGTGACCCAGCCTGCGTCCAGCCAAATTTGTGCCAGAGTCGCCATTTCCCCGTCTCCCTTCAACTTGCAGAGCAAACGGGTACCAGCTCCGGGTGAGTTGGCCCAGCCTTAGGCCCCAGGCTGGGAAATGGCACGAATGGGAAAGGCACCCCTTGATGTTCGCCCAACTCCTGCGCAGCACCCTGGGGACCCGAGTGGGGACAGAGGGTGGCCTGGCAGCCAAGTTGTCCCTCGCTGAGCCCGGGTGACAAGAGTGCCGGGCGGCTTTCAAGTCCGAAGGGTCCTTCACACCCCGTCAAGTATCCTGGAAGTCGCTGAAATGCGGGCACCCAGCTCCTGGCTCAGAGCCGGGCCGGGAAATGTTGGCGGAACGGAGGCCTGGGCACCCGGGGCCCACCGCCCCGAGGCCAGCAACCGGACACCGGTGCTGGGAAAGCAAACGGGCGCAGTAAATTATTGCGCAAGAGCCGATCGCTTAGAATAACATACAGGCTCTTGACACCAGCACAAATGGAGGTGCTTTTCCAGAAAGGGGGGCACCCCTTGCCCTGAGACAGCCACAGCACCAGGGAAGTTCACGAAGGATTTGGCCAAAAGAAACTGGGCTTTCTCGGGCTGCATGAACTTGAGTGAGACGACTTCTTCAAAGTCATCCTTCCCTACAGGACACATGTCCTCGGGCCCCATTCTACAACAGTTCCCCAACTGTCCTCATAAAATCCCCTGCTGACATGGAGGCTGGTCAGTCTGGTCTCCCCCTGTTGAAGCAGGAATTACAGAACTGAAGTGAGGGGAGTTCAAGGCCACCCTTGCCTGTCCCCAGGGGACAGGAGCATCTTTCCTTCCCCCCCGGAAGGCGCACAGGCCCCCTCACCGGCCACAGAACCATAGCCTCTGTTGGACTTTGCGTCGTGTGTTTGAACAAATCAACTACCACCGAGCCCTCTGAGCCCATCTTCCCCGGGGTGAGGAAGGCTGTGAAGACCCAACAGGCATTGGGCTGGTTCCCGCCACGGGTTCCAAATGAGGTCACCTCGTACGTAACTCACGTGACAAACTTAAAGCAGTCTGTGAAGAGACGCCTATTGTCCACGTGTTAAAACACCAGTCTACTGAAGCTACAACTAATTGCTAGGGCTGCGTGGGAATTTCTGCCCTGCGCCCCCCAGGAGACCATGTGTGAAGACTTCAGAGTTGTCAGTAACCACCGTTGACACAGCAGCATCCTTCACGGGGCTGTTTTGCTAACCACCCTTCCGTAGGATCTGATGACACTCCCGGAGACACAGAGATGACTTGAGGACGCAGTGTGGCGGCACCCCCCACACTGGGTTGACCCCCAGGAACAGACACCTGGGTGAGCTCAACATCCTCCTGAAACACCTGTGTAAAGCTTGAGCTTCTCCTCTGAGTTTGTGACACAGGAGAGACATGCAGGATGACTTAGTACTCTTTGGTGGTTACGTGGAGTGTACAGATTGGCGTGTACCGATAACTGTGGTACTTGTTAAGTACAAAACCATGAGCGAGCTGGTGAAGAAGACGTCTTGAGAGAACAAAGCTTTGCCCAGACTGGGCCCTGCATAGACGCTGCTCAGGCACATCCCCGGACACATCCCGGGCAAAGGCCACCACCACAGGACCAGTGGGAGCAGCCCTGACTCCGTGCTGCTGAGTACTGGTCAGGTCCGACCCCCGTGAGCTACGGTACACTTCTGTCTGCCTTTTATAGCAAGAGAATGCCATAGCTTGGAAAGTTTACCCAAATAGCTTGCCCTGGGTCCCAGTACACGCTTGCTAGTCCTGAGGCCAACCTAGAACACAAATCCCAGCCACATTCTTCATGGCTCACAAAGCGACGTGTCCAAACCTGAGACAAAGAGAGACTTCGGCACCTCACATTTTCTTTCAGAATATCTTGGAAACTTTGTAGAGAGGGCACGACCCAAATTTTTGCTGGGTCAGAACATTCCCGTGCACGTGATAGTAACAAGGGCTGCTGAGGCTCTGGGACTCCCGGATCAGATCTCACACGGCCCATCGATTTCCCCAGCGCAGACTGTTCATCCTCGTGCAATCCTCTGTGCTCCTCTGATGAGCTGTTTTTCTGTTAGACGAGGCGTTTGAGTGTTTCACATAAGAGTTTAATCCTTTCTCGAAGGGACGTGGCGATGACTCCATGAATCCGCTGGGAAGGGGAGGAGAGCAGGTGTGTGGCCAGGTGAAAATACGGGGCCTTCGCATATTTAAGTTCTGTCTTAGGCCGGCCCATTGGACCACCTGTTTTCTCTGGCCTTGGAGGTCAAAACAAGAAGGAATGAGGAAAGACATCCACGTGGTGGATTTCAGAATTTACAACATGATCTTTCATCAACCACTGGAGCTGTCTAAAAGTGGAATGGGGCTCTTCATCCTTAGAAAGATGTTCAGGCAGGGGCCTTGCATACTAAGGACTGAAAGAAGCTTCCGTTTCAACAGACATGTGCTCCACGGCTCCGCTAGAGCTATTTTAAGGCGACACCGAAACGTGCTGGCTGTACTCCTGCTGGGGAGGACAGCTAAGGAGCTGGGGTCCGGGGTTGGAGGCACACTTATTTTCTTTGTAACTCTGCCCCTTTACATCTCCATGGGCAGCATCACCTGTTTCTGTAAGGGAAGGTCAGTGGCCTCCGTGGCCCCTCGCTGAGGGTCCCGGGCCCTCCAGGTGGTGGGCTATCTTGGTTTCCTTCATTAGGACAGAGGAGGGAGGAGGCAGCTTCTGTTTCAGGGGGACGAGGCTGGGCACAGGTGACGCTCATCTGTCATTAGCATTTTATTAGTCTTGCCTGACATCAGGACTCTGTCATCTCGGGCCCGGAGTCCCGGACTTCCAGAAAGCAGGATCGCATTTCGGATACTGGTTCCTGGCCCTGTCGTGCGTTTGCTGCTTTGCACGGGGATCGCGTGGGAAGTTTCTGGACCCTGCACGGTGCTTTGCCCACGTTGAAGGTTGCGATGAAATGATTCCGTCCAAGGTGTCACTCCTTGTCCTCGGGACGGTTCCAACCAGAAACAGGAGCCGCAAGGTTGCGACTGGTGGTGTGCAGGCCAGATTCAGGAGATAGATGTGGTTTTGTGGGGCCCGTTCGACATTTATCTTCATCGAATTTGTGGCAACATGAAAAGAATCAAGAGATTTCATATTTACAAAGTGGATTCTCGCCTTGGCCGGTTTGGCTCAGCAGTTAGAGCGTCGGCTCGCGGACGGAAGAGTCCAGCTTCGATTGTGGCTAAGGGCACGGACCTCCGTTGCGGTTCGTCCCCGGCCCCAGTGTGGTTGTGCAGGTGGCAACCAGTCGATGTGTCTCTATCACATCGATGTTTCTCACTCTCTCTCCCTCCTGCTGTGTCTGAAGATAAGTGTAAAAATATCCTCAGATGAGGATTTAAAAAAAGTGGATTCTCTGTTTCTCTTCGGGGGTGGGGTGCTGGCCAGCTGGGTCTGTTTTCATGCGTCTGGGTGGGTGATAACTGTCCCCTTCAGAAAGGAAGGCAAGTCTCCACTCCTGTCAACACCACCAAACCTGATTCTCCAGTTCTGCGGTAGGCATTTGAGTTCGCAGCCTCGCCCTTCCTGGTTCAGCTACGCCAGGGCCTCTTTAAACCTCGGCTTCCTCCTGCCCTTATCTTTTCTCTGTCCGCCTCATTCTGGCTCGTCTCGTGTGTGTGTGTGTGTGTGTGTGTGTGTGTGTGTGTGTGTGCGTGCGCGCGCGCGCACACACACATATGGATTTGTTGATGGATTTTGGTCCAGAGGTCATAATACCATGATAGACTCACTTTAAATTAGCATATTCAAATATGGGATAATATAAAAACACAAGTGTTCACCACAGCTCATAATTATACCTGATCACATTGTTGTCCACACGATATGCTGATATTCAGTTAAAAGTTACTAGGGCAGACGCAGCCCCGTGTAGAAGAGAGAGAGGAGCCCCCTCTTGGTGTGTGGTGCACTTGCCATGACCGTGTGCCCAGGGCCTGCTGGCCTGGAGGAAATCAGGGTAGGAAGTGGCGGGTTCGGGGCTTGGCGGGACTAAATAGCACTGTTTATCTTGCAAATCAGCAAGTTTTCCTGGCTTATTTGCCTGTACAAACTGTAACCAATAATAGAATGTGGCTACCAGGATTTCTAGATTGTTACTTCCTCCATTATGCCCTACAAACCTCAATTTACACAAGAAGTATTCAATCCCCAGCTAAACATTTAATTTATGTATTTTAGGAATACTTTGTATTCATTTATCTTATGTTTGATATTTAAGTGTTCACACACCATACATTTCCAGAACATATGCACCGTGTGTGACATGTATACATAGCTGTAGGCTGCAGATATACTTACATGATGCACACACACAGTTAAAGGGACAAGAGTAACCACATGAACAGACATCTAAAAACTGCCATGAACTCCGTGTGACCTTGAGCATGTTTTATATTTTCTTTTTTTTTTTTATCCTCACCCGAGGACATTTTTCCATTTTTTGTTCAGATAGAGCGGGAGGGAGAGAGAGA